TTCTGTAAAGATTTACAGCTTTGGAAACCCAGTGGGGGTTGCTATGAGTCAGAATCAACTCAGTGGCAGTGGGTTTAGTTTTTTGGGTTATTGTCTAAGTCTTATTTATTTATTTTTTTATTTAATATTGTGTTTTTGGTGAACATTTGAACACCAAGTTAGGTTCCCCTCTGACAATTTCCACACAAATTGATCAATTACATTAGTTACATTTTTCACAGTGTATTAACATTCTAGTTCCTTGCCCCCTTACCTTCTCATTTTTGCTCTTTTGGACTCAGGTTTTATTTTAGTAGTGCACCAGTCTAAAGGGTAATAGCCTTCATTTTGTGTGTCACTCTCCTTTTCTGTTAGAAGGTGATCTCAGAAGATAGTTTTGATTCAAAGTTTAACAGGCATCTCAAAGTGATAGTCTCAGTGAATCCTCTGGTCTCAGATAATCTATTTAGTCTAGCCATTTTTTAAAATTTGAGTTTTTTTCTGCATTATTCTCCCATTCTAACCATCTATTATGCCCCTTGTCATACTGATCAGTGGTTGTAGCTGGCTCTCCTCTAGTTCTGGTCTTAAGAAAGTTGAGGTCATGACTCAAAAATGCCCTGTATACTTGATTTTTCTCTGTGATTTTGGTTACCTTCTTACTCTTCTGGTCCTGACAAATAGAGACCAATAGTTGTATCTTAGATGGCCATTCTCAAGCTGTTAAGACCCCAGATGCTACTCACTTTACTAGGATGCAGAACATGACCTTTGTGAGCTATATTATGTGAATTGACTGAGTTGTCCCATGCAACTACGTTCTAAGCCTTCAGAGCCAGAAAATCAGTCTCAGAAGGTGTTTGGTTATGTCTGAGGAGTATCTGTAATTGTGTCTTCATTGAATATATATGTCTACCTACACATATCTATATTTACATATACATATAGATACTTCTTCCTGTTCTCACATATGTGTACACCTGTACCTATCCATATACGTATATGTTAGTGCCCATAGTAATGTGATCTTAGACTAATATTTTGGTTTTGGTTGTTATTTATTGCCCTCTTATATATGTTAAGGGAGCTCTGGTAGCATGGTGCCTAAGCATTTGACTGCTAACCAGAAGTGGTTCAAACCCATCAGCCACCCCTCGGAAGGAAGGTTGGGCAATCTACTTCCGTAGTGATACCACCTCGGAAACCCAAGGAGGGGTTGCTATGAGTCAGGTCCGACACAATGGCAGAGAGTGAGTGAGTGTGAGTATATACGTTAAATTGTTCAGTGCAGGTATCCTTTTCTTATGAGCTCTTCTTGGCAGTGTCATTTAGTATGGTCATGTGTGTTCACTACATACACATTCTTTACCACTTTTTCCTTCACCAAAAATAGCGAGTATTTATAATCTATAGCATGCATCCCTTTCTCTTCCCTCCTTACAACCTCTTAACCACCATTGAACATTGATTTCTTTATATGTCTCCTCTTGTCTTTTTATAGAAGAAGGATCATATAATACTTGTCCTTACGTGCTAGAATTTATTTTACTTAGCATTATGCCTTCCAGGTCTATCTGTGTTATAATGTTTTGTGGGCTCATGATTGTTCTTTATGTTTATGTAGGATATGCCATTGTATGTATGTAACACATTTTACTTATCCATTCATCCACTAATGGGTACTTCAGGTGTTTCCATTTTTTTTTTTGCTATTGTTAATAAAATTGCAGTGAACATAGGAGTGCATTTATCTGTTTATGTCACTACTTTTAGGTCTCTAGGGTATATCCCTAGAAATGGGATTGCTGGATCATGTTGTTGTTGTTGTTGTTATGTGCCGTCGAGTCGGCCCCGACTCATAGCGACCCCTCCTTGGGTTTCCGAGGCAGTATCACTA